TCACCACGATGCCTCACAATAACAGTGATAAATCAAATCCCTGCTTTTTTTCTCTATAAGTGTAAGTAATATGAACCTGGCTATTCTATATTTGAGCAGACTCTGATAGAACAGTGATCTTGCAGCGCATGAACTTACTTTCCATCCGACAAATTATTAAAATTTGTCTCAACCAAGACACTTCGACTACTTAGATGATCCTTGCCTATACACAAACTTTCAACACCCCCCCTAACCATAGTGTTGGGGTCACTGATCGATTCCATCTATGAGTGGGCAAAACAGCCCACTAGTAAAGGATCTGCGGTAATCGAATATATATATATATATATATATATATATATATTTGTAGAAAGCTGAAGGTGCAATGGTACTGGCAGTTTCCCTTGATAACAGTTATTATAAGTATAACAGGGAAAAACTGCAGGTTCCGTCTGCCCTGTTATATATCCGAGTTTGAATGTATTCAGACAAAACAATATTAAAAAATGAAAGCACAATTTCACTTATTGGGAGTCATAAAAGTCTTTTTAATTCATGTACCATCTGTGCATACTAGTACAAATACAAATGTACAAAATTATGTGCAGTCATGTACACATTGTACATGGTTAAATGCAGAAAATGTTTAACAAAAAATAAACAAAAACAAAAACCGAATCAAAACAATAACAAAACAAAAACCTCTTACACTAAAAAAGTCATCTTAATCAGGAGGTTGTGTAATGAATAAATAGGCCTACATGCTATTTGAACCCATCGTAAGCCTTCTTCTGGTGTGCTAAGTTTGTCAGCAGTCTACATTTTTGTACCGGGGCAATTCCATAGCCAAAGGGTACGGAATTCCCCTAGCACAACACTGCTTCAGAATGCTAGGAGACGTCCCCCCTACATAATGAAGCATTTCAAACATAATGAATTTCTAGATTTACAACGTCTTACCAAAAACGTGTTGAAAAATAGAACAAGAGATACCAATGGTTCCAAGGTGAACTGACTAAAGGTAAAAAGGTTCCAATACAGACAAGAGGATACCACAAGCATATCTTACAGTTATGGATTACAATGGTGACCTCGCAGCTCTTGACATAAGAGGAGCTCGTGATGACCTTCTACTGAGAGCGAAACAGTCTGTGAACTCATATCTTCCTACCAACTGCACTTGCCAATCTCTAGGGAGAAAAAGGCAGAACTTCTCAAACTTTGCAAAGAAATTGTGATCCCAGATGAGCTTCATGGTTGGTTCAATGATCTGCCCACCTCCAAAACAAGCGAAAAGAAGAAAGCTGCACGACCTGAAATGGCAGACTGTGAGTGATCATGTAAAAAAGCGCAGCAAGAAAATGGTTTTGTAATGTAAAGCGGGGGAAAAAAGTCAGCTTTCCTTTTTTCCAGGTGAATAACAATTATAACATCAAAAAATTGGGAAGTAATTAGAGCATCCAGCCAATAAGTGTATTCTTATAAGGTTCATGTGTACCATTGGCTCAAACTTTCGTCAATTACGATCAGTGGTTTTAGAAAAAAACCCACCTGAAATAGGCCTACATTTTATTTTGTGTGCAGAGACAATCAATATCATTAATTTAGAGACCTTGCATTAACCTTTAACGTACACCGTGTAGGCTACCAAAAATGGTAAATTGAAGAGCCTAGGTCTATAGAGATGCTCTGGGCTAAGTCACAAGTCAGCTCGAAGTGAGTTGTGATGTTAATTGGAAAATGTCTGTTTTTCTTAATCTATTTATTTCTATTGTAGGTATTTTAAGCCTTCAATGACACATTTAATTGTTTAAGAGATGGGTTTCCAACCCTGCCTGTAGATAAGATAAGAAAAGATACATCTTTATTGTCAAGATCCTGGCACATTGGTTTGATGTTTCACAACGTACACACATATATACATACACAAACACACACACGCACGTACACACACACACACACACACACACACACACACAAACTTACACGAGACACACACGCAGGCTTACAACTTACAGTCACATGCATAATATAAATGAATAGTAATATAAACAATAATAATGTTAAACTAGATACACACTCAGTATTCTGATTGTAACTCAATGTTATTCTGATGTTTGCTTTCTAAAGTCATTGAATGCTTGCAACAAGATGGTTAAGATGGAAGAATTTTGATGGATGATTGTAAAAATGACCTGTATCTTTATTTGTTAGATCAGAAGCCTAGATCTTTTATTTCTGACTGATCTTTTTATTTGAGGAAACAAGGGATGTTTTTTGTCCAAAAAGATGGAATTAATTTTTTTTTGCGGAAGCTGTAATGTGTACAATTCATCCAAGTAAGGGAATGTAATTGTTGAAATTTGGCATGCTTTCCATATTAATCGATTTAATTTTTCTTTATCTTGTTGTCTTGTTGGGTCGTTTTGGAGGCATTGTTTTTTAGAAGAATTGGGAAATGGTCCGTATGGTCATCCAGCACAGACCACTCAAGATCTGGGACTAGGTCAGGGGTACAAAAGGTGAGGTCAAGGGATGAAGTGCCATAAGTGGCTCTGTTTCATTAAGTCGAGGACCTATCATTTAAGTTTAAGAGACAGATGTTATTTTGAAATAAAAAGTTTTCTATTATTTTTCCTTTCTGGTCTATAGGTTTGTCTCCCCAAAGGGGGCTGTGGGCATTGAAATCACCTAGCAAAATAAAGGGTTTTGGAAGCTGAGCCTTTAAGTCATTTAGTTGGGTTATTTTGAGGGGGTAATTTGGTGGGATATAAACTGAGCAGATCGTGATTGGTCTGTGCAGGGTGACCCGTACGGCAATAGTTCCAGGCTAAGAGGGACACAACATCCCATCCCAATAGAAAGAGAGAAATACTCAAGAAAAATGTCTCCCCACTCAGCAATTGAACCCCGGTCTCTTGCAAAGCAACAGCAAGGTGCGCAACACCAGAGGCGCCCATTGAATGGTTGTGATTGGATAGATTATTGTATTGTATTGTAACCTTTGGAACATTCAGTCAGAGTTTAAGGAAATGATTTCCTACGACAACTGGATCATGAGATCCCTCTGCTGAATCCCTTTGTTCTGCACACCACGACCCAGACAACGCCAGCAAGTTGTTGCATAATGTGTTATATCCAGTGCTTCCACCAGCTGAAGCTAATAAGTAAGGAAAATTCTGCCGGTGGTCTGGGGGCGAAGCCCCCGAAGAAAATGAATTTAAGTGCTTTTAGAGGGTTGAAAATGGCATTTGGGAGCCTGTTTGAAGAGATTGCCTGCAAAGCATAACATTATTTTTTCACCAACATTATGTCTTGTGTAATTTCCTCCCCAAGATCTACATAATTGCCATTGATGGCAATGTTTAAAAGCAGGTTCCCCTTCCATCGCTACTATAATTCAATTAATTTGTCATCACACCATTGATAGAAGGCAAACCTGGGAATAATGAATAGATATGTACCTTCACAATACAGTTACCCTGCGTATGCCCTAATTTTCCTTAAATTTCAAGCCTGAATGTCGCATGTCAAAACCTCGGAACACTACTTCAAATTATTCTTGACTTAAGTAGTTTTAGGCTGGTTTTGCCATAATTTCTTTCATCGCGGCCCTTTTAGCATTCCCGTGCCCTAGACGCGCAGATTTTCTAGCGGCGGCAACAATCTGAAGATAGACAGACGGAATGAGTGAATGATAGAAATGAGGAAACTGGCACAAAAAGTTCGCAAATTTTGAACAATCCACAGGTAAAAATGTACTGCCGACAAGCCCGCAATGAATGCATGGGGCATAGCGGTATAATGGCTGTTTGCAGGATATGCGCAATCTGGCAGGTCTCTAAAACATTAACTTATTGCTGAGAGAATTACCGTAAATATCCGTAACTTACACTAGTACTTGACGATACGAAGGCGAGTACGGATCTTTTGCTACGGAATTTCGGTAGTCCTACTCGCAGCTTTTTACGGAGGGAGTTGATAATGATGGAAGAACAAGTATGGAACTGGCAGAAAGTACGGATTTCCGTAAAAATACGGAAGAGTGGAAGCACTGTAAATCTGTTGCAGATGAATCGTGCTGACGTATGAGGTAACAATACCAAACACAATGTGAATCTCTCTCATAAAAGCTAATTTCGGTGAACGAAATTTACAGTCGTTTAATAGAATCTGCTATCAATCATCATCTAACCTCCCAGATGCCAATTTTTTTTCCTATGAACAAATTATTTCAATTTTTTCTTCAAATTTGGGACTTCAAAAATCTGTTTGCGATGCGCTTGAGACTATCTAATATTTTCCTAAATATTTATGACACTGTCTTGCAAAGTTTTCAGACATCCTTAGAATACTCTGTTCTAGTAGTTTCTATTTAGGTGAAAAAGATGCTACACCTAAAATAGGTCACCAACTTGATAGTTTTTCATCTAAATCACTTCCAGTATTTTGGAAAGCTACATATCCAGTCAGGAAAATTATTAGAACAACTTCACACAAAAATTTCTTTGCACAATTAGACATTGTCATAAATAATACAAGTGAAATCCCAATCTTGACTATGTCCAGGACCAGGGCCGAGCCAATATCCCGAGTATGTTTGAAACCACAGCTCAGTGAGTCAAAAACACATATATGTGTCTGTGACAAGAGAAATGTACCAAAAGTCGCCCCAGACCGTTTTGAGCTACAGGCTGATAATGACAAAAATCACTTTCTTGACTAAAATGTGTTTCCATTAAAAAATGATGGATCCACCATTTTTTTATAATGTGTTCGAAAGGGTTTTCATTGATTTGACTTTTAAATACTTTATTTTGAATTATTTTGAGGGTGGGTATAATAAAAACAAATAATGAAAACTGCTTTTAAAAGGTGTTAAAAATCTATTCTTGAAGCACGTTTTATCTTCCCTGTTTTACCACTGAAATTCCATTCATGATATTGATACCAACTGAATGCCGAATTGGAAATGAATTTTCCCGAGAATAAATACATTAAAATTTTTTTTTTTTTTAAAAGTTTGAATGTGTTCTCATGTTTGTTAAACTTAAAAGCTCATTTTCTCAAAATTATATTTTTATACCCTACCTCGCAAAAATGTGCAGTATCTCAAAAACTACTTGAGATCTAGATCTAAAAAATTCAAAGACCCCTGTCTTCAGCACTGAATTTTCTATAAGTATAAGGTACAATTCTTAATTCAAAATGGTCAAAATCCGACTTTTGGTACCTTTCTTTAGGCACACACACATATATTCCTATCATTATTAAAAGACAGTCACATTAGTCGCAACTTTCTAATAACAAACACAGAATCAACAAACTTGAGGGTCATGTCTGACAACGTTGTATGCGAGCTTCACTGTACAATTTGATCACTGGGAGAATAAAAACAGAAAAATCACAAATTTTAAATCTTAACATTCAACAGTGTCAAGCCTAGGGTACAAATTAACAGCAAATCTGTCTCTAGAGCCAAGAAGTCCCTCTCTGTTGTTGTTTTGTGAACATGTAGCAAGAAATTCTTCAAGCGATCCCCCATACGTCTCAAAATCTCAAGATCCTCTCCATCTGATGGACCTAAATACCTATGACAATCAAAAGGACCCTTCCACTCAGCATATGCCGTCAAAAGCAGAGAGACCAACGACAGGAAAGCAGAGTACTCCGTTTTACCAACCAGTCGTGACGCATCTGGCCCAAGGACCTCATCGTACAGAAACTGCGGAGGAGTCCAGTCAACTGGAAGTTCCAAGGTCTTTTGATCTACTGTGGAAATCCCCTGTTGAGAAAGACTGGTGTTCCACTTTGCCAGGGTAACTTCAGCACCATTGCTTAGCAGATCACACATTTCCTTTGATTTTGCTAACTGGATGGGCTTTAGGCCCCAGTCGTCCTTTATCTGTAACAACCTGGGTCCCCCATAATGGAGCAAAAGTTTACACACATCAAGGCTATCCTTTAGAACCGCAACATGCAGAGGCGTTCTGCCTTCCACGCCACGCGCGTTCAGATCCACTTTGTTGGTAACAGCATCCTGCACTTTGGACGACGGGTCAATTGTGCCATGGGCCGGGGGCACATACTTGAGCAGTACCTCCACACAGGCATGCCTGCCATGGTGACAGGCTTCGTGTAGTGGAGTCCAACCTGCATTGTCCCTGAGGTTCACATCAACTCCTGGCACTTGCAAAAGCAAACTCAATCTTTCTTGGTTATTTTTTATGGCTGCCAAATGTACAGCAGATTCACCCTTCCCGTTTCTTTTGTTTACTTTTCCCTCTTTAAAGGCCCCTGCACTCCTTAAAAAAGTTTTAAGAGGTGAGCCTTGGGAAGATTTAGAAGGAGAAACTTCAACATACCTATCCACAGATGAACTTTCAGAGCTCCTGGCACCTTCATGTGACATTCTCTGGGAAAGGTATGAAGAATTTCCTTCAGATCTGTATACATGCTGACTTTTATGACTCCTGTCAACTTCATGTAGGGGAGGCAAAAGAAAAAAATACTGCAACAGGATGGCTCGCAGACTGATTTTATCAATGCGGATACTCTCTGCCAAGAGGTAGTCATTGTAGGCGGATAGAATAGTGGCGAGCACAAGAACACGAAACCATGGAGGGTTCAGGCAGGAGAGAAGAGAAGGGAGGTCACTAGGATCTCTACCAGCACATGTGTCTTTCATCAGGCGACTCAACTCTCGGGCCAAGACCAGCAGGTCATGGTTGGACAGATGTGTCGGAGACTTCGTTTGCCAGCGAGCGCTAGCCATGTGTAGACACCGAGCAACGAGGCCAGCCAGAGACAGGAGAGCTCGATGTGAACGGCAGCAGAATGCTGGGGCTTTAAGAGCATTCCTCAAGGCCAGCACCAGCTCTTTGACACGGCCATTGTAACACACAGCACAACTATGCTCCCAGAATGCTCGAACAACAAGACAACTTTGCGGCTCTCTTGGATTTTCCGACAAAAGAAAATTGTTGAAGTTTATTTCAAACACTGAAACAATATATTCTAGAACAGAAATCAATGATTCCAACTTGTCATCTGTATGTGTCGATAAATGTTTGAGAACTCGTAGAAGAACAGACTCAGTACTAGACAAATCAAAAGCCTCAGCATAAGTTTGCACCAGATCTGGAGTCACAGGTTTGTGAAAGTCCAGCCAGGTTTTTAGATTGAAGCAAGCCCAAGTGGAAATGTGAAGCTCCTTTGAGCATGCCAGACAGACAATCTCTCGTAGAAGTCCTGGTGTGGGCAGCCGGGTGGGGCACGGTTGACTGTGTAGAAGGGCAATGTCCTCATAGTCCATCTCTCGTACTGCCTCAAGACATTGCTCCACCAATATGGGCACAGGCATCAGGCCCGCACTGGAAACCCTACAGCCAGTCATCAATGGGTAAGAGACAGGGTGAAGATCCACTCGTCCTGCCCCAGACGCACTGGTGGGTGTTTCAATATGACTCGAAGATGAATGTCTCTCGGGAAGGTGCTCACTCTCATTCGTGACATTCTCCATCTCTGAACAATAACCCAAACCCAGTTCAACAGCAGGTGGAATGCTTGAAGAATCTACTAGCTTTTCTAGCCTCAGTAAAACTCCTTTGGAAGTTTGCTCAAATTGCTTACTACATTCTGCAATAGATTCAGTTTGACCATTAACATCTTTAACCTCACAGTTAACAGTACCACATATCAGCTTGTTTTCACTCAGGTAAGTTTCAGCATTTTCACTTTGAGATGATGAACGAAATGAGTCAAGCAAAAACCTCTTAACAGTTGAGCCAACATTCTGTTTTGCCCCACCATCATCTATGGGTTCAGCCTTCACCCTCTTATCAGCATCGTCTGTCAAAATGATGTCATCATCTATGGGTTCAGCCTTCACCCTCTTATCAGCATCGTCTGTCAAAATGATGTCATCATCTATGGGTTCAGCCTTCACCCTCTTATCAGCATCGTCTGTCAAAATGATAATGTCATCATCTATGGGTTCAGCCTTCACCCTCTTCGGCTGTAGATCAAAAAGTGACCTCCGACAGCCACTCGCAGAAGATTTAGGAAGCGTCTCTGCATCAGCATCAGGATTATTTGTGGAGCAACTTTTTGTTCCACAATTCTTAGACACTAATTGACACTGTTGCAAGGAAGATGGAGAAGGATGAGATGGGTTGAGCTGTTTCCGGCTGTTTGTTGAGGTAGACGGCACCCTGGCAGAATCGATCATCTCCTTTGCTTCAGACTTCAGACCCACAGGACTCTCCCGCAGGAAGGAGGAAACACTTTTATCAGGAGAATCTGAGGGTGAAAAATTTGAATAGATTGTAAAATTCAAATGTGTAATTATTATATTCAGATCCTATAGTGAGTCGACATCCAGGTGTTAACCAGAGTTGCATCTCAGGCTGGACTAGTTAGGGACTACAAATCAACCTGAGAAACACAAGAGACAGCATCGTCTCCCTACATCAAACTAATGACACTGCCATAGAATCTGTGAAATCGTTGGCATACCTTGGCAGCCAGACAATATTAGCTGGTTACACCAAGAGATGGAAATCAAACTATCCATAGGTAAAGCTCACACAATCCCGTGACTGAGATATCTCGGTCAGCTTGCAGGCTGCGTTCAATCCCACGACCGAGATAACTCAGTTCTATAGTTTTGTTCCGTACTAGTTATTTCTTTTCGGAAAACGGTCTCAAGTTTCATATGAGGTAAATTTATTATTTCCCTGGCCAATTCTGTCCAGAGGGGGGCTGAATTTTGTTTCTACTGTCATTACACACAAAGAAATTGGTTTTTTTATAAAGGCACTCTCAGCACTTTTGTTTACACTGATCAGCTGAGCATGTCTCGCAATCTCTCTGCATTTCTCACACATACATTTTTTTTAACTCATGAAAGTATTCAACAGTCTTTATTATACATGACATACAAGATATAGATCTAGACACTCACAAGCATATCTGAATATCAATGTAGGCTTGCTCTTGCTCATTCGGCCATGAAAAAAAATTTTAAGCCTCCAAAAAAGCCAAATTTGTACAGAACCTCAAAGCAAAACTACTAAAGCTACATACTTCAAATTTAGTACGTCTAAAGATCCGTCTTAGGTTGTACTTTGCACCAACATTTTAAAGCAATTGTATTATATTTATGGTTCCTAGTGGGCCCTTACATAAGTGCCAAAATGACCGGTCTCAGGGTACAATTTCTGGAAAAACTGGGACTGAGTGAGTTAAGACGCCTTCAACAAAACTTAACAAAATCTGGAAAAAATAAGAAACTCAGTTCAAAGCTGAAGCTGAAACTACATTACATACAACTCAGATGTTCTGTTCGTAATTCTATGTGTCACGACACTGTGGAATCAGACTTTTGTCAGTTTTTGGACATATGAAATTATCATTGGTATCATCTTAAAGTTTGTTAATTTTTTTTAAATCTATCAATGAAACAAATATCCATCTGTCTTGAATAGAGGTGGACATATTTGTGACTGAAGGGAGTGGGGGTCGCCTGGTTTCAGGTTAATTTAACGAGAAAATGGCCGCCAAAGTTTGGTGACTTCAAAAGCTTGGGGGTCCTTGGAAACTGCAAATTTACATTTTTTGTGCCTTTGATAACCATTTTTCAGTAAAATCCCCACAGAAACATGTTTTTAAATGAACATGAGCCAATGACAGAAAATTCGGGGAAAAAACAGCCCTACTGCTAGAAAAATTATTTCTTTTATTCTATTATTTTGATGGACACCTGATGTTTCCACGATGCCTCACATAATAATAAATTTAATAATAATAATAATGGATTGCATTTATATAACAAATATCCACTTATACAATGCTCTATAATGCGCTTATCCTGCTCTATAATGCGCTTATCCTGTGTCAACTCCATATGACTGCGAGTCTAAAGAAAGAACAGAAAAGGCAGCTAGACTAATTTGACAACAGATGCCTCCTAAAAATCAGATGGAAAGACTACATTACAAACGAAGAAGTAAGAGAAAGACCCTCAACAGCAGGCACTAACAAACATCATGTGTGCAAAAGAAGAAAGCAGTGGCTTGGATATATTAATAATAATATATCACAACTCCCAGACACCAGAATTTCTTGTCAGGCTGGGTCCAGGAAAATTGGTGAGAAAGGGAGCAGAGGGAGATCATAGATGAATTGAAAATAAGACAATATCAAAAGTTCTGAAGCTGAAGACAAGAGGTGGAGTGATATCCGCGTACTGACTGCAGACAGATCTTACTGGTCGTCGATGACAGCTTCTTGTGTATCAAAATATGGGAGTGTCTAAGTCTAAAACGAGACCTTAATATTCTGATTGTCTGAATTTAAGAAATAAACACATAAACATTAGAATTACCATGTGGCACTTAGACAGATTAAAACAGACAGACAGAAACATCTGTAAGGCCTTTTCAACTCCTGTACATGATAATCATAATAAATTATATCGACTGCTAAGTGTTAGATTCTGCCATTGATCATTTTGAAGAGTAAGTAACATATGATAGAGTCTTACACTAAGCAGACGATAAAAAAACAATTCCCTGGTGATAAAGCAGCTTTAAAAAAAATAGGAAGAAATAAATAGCCTCTGTCAACCAGTGCTTCCACCAGCTGAAGCTGAAGAGTAAGGAAAATTCTGCTGGGGGTCCCGAGGGGGTTTCAGGGGGCGAAGCCCCCGAAGAAATTGAAATTTAGTGCTTTTAGAGGGTTAAAAATGGCACTTGGGCGAGCCTGTTCGAAGAGATTGCCTACAACCAATAAAATTGATTAGTTCGCCAACATTTTGTCTTGTTCAATTTTTTTCACCCACTACATCTTTCCATTGCTGGCATTGTTTAAAAGCAGGTTCCCCTTCCATTGCTACTATAATTCAATTAATTTGTCATCGCATGATTGATAGAAGGCAAACCTGGGAATAATGAAAAGAAATGCACCTTCACAATACAGTTACCCAGCATATACCCTAATTTTCCACAATTTTCACTTGTGAATGTTGCATGTCACAACCTCGGAACACCACTTCGAATTATTCTTGATTTTACTAGATTTAGCATAATTTATTTCATCATGGCCCTTATCGCGTTCCCGTGCCGTAGAATCTTTAGACTGATAATTTCTCTAGATCTAGATCTAGACAATAAATTTGCAAACAAGTTTCTTTCTGACAGTAATTTTCTGTCTAAGATCACAAGTCAATTTACTTGATCAACGCCAATATTTTCCAGCTGCGGCAACAGTCCGAAGATAGACGGAATGAGTGAATGATAGAAAGAAGGAAATTGGCACAAAAAGTTCGCCAGATTTTGATCAATCTGAAGGGGAAAGTGTACTGCCGACCAACAACGGCCGATTGCAGGAAATGCGCAATCTGGCAGGTTTCTAGAACATTAACTTATTGCCGAGAGAATTACAGTAAATATCCGTAGCTTATACAAGACGATACTAAGGCGAGTACGGATCTTTTGCTACTGAATTTCAGTAGATATCTAGTCCTACGCTGTCGCAGTTTTTTTTACGGAGGGAGTTGATAATGATGGAGAAACAAGTACGGAACTGTCAGAAAGTACGGATTTCCGTAAAAATACGGATGAGTGGAATCACTGCAACTTCAAAACCTCCCCTGATCACAGCATCAGAAAAAAAAGCAGTTAAAAAATTAAACGCATTTGAATAGCTTCAGAAGCTGCTGCTTTTTAAACAAAAAAATATGCATGCAGCATCAAGTGTTTGAGAGTGCTGCTTGTAAACCCTGTCTTTAAGAAACGCCTATATGAAAAACAATTAGTTCAAGTCCAGGCTGTGAGGAAGACATTTGAAAATCACTTTGAGGCTGATGACCAAGTCCTGGAAATTATCACAGAACCATGTCCGGACAAAAATATCTCTATGGGGTGTAGCTCCATCTTGCTATAAACCATGCTACTTCTTACAGCTGCTTCCTTTTAATGCCTTCCCAACATTTCTTAAGAACTGCAACATACTCTTCACTTGACGCACTAGCCATCATGCATTCTCCTCCTACTGGAGTGGACCAATTATAGAGTGTGGCAGCTGAGTGCCAGCCAGGTTGTTCACTTCACTTCTTCCACAGGACTCAAGCCTCAGGTCTCCTACTTGATGAGTCAGCTTTCTCACCGACATTTTAGGATGGGTGTCAATTAAGACCTTTACAAACCCGATGTTCTTTTTAGGGTAAGTCCTTGACCTTTGTGCTTTAAGCGTGCTTGGGTACATTATCTCATAAATAATCACATGAAATGTGAACACAGTATGCCCATGTTCTTAAAAAAATCACTTTTCAAAAAGATCTGTTCATAAAAAATGTATAAATTATTCAGGAAATACATACAAATGTTTTTTTGTGATCACCCTGTATGAAAGAAACAACTTATTAGACACAGAAAGACTGTAGCAAAAGGGAAAAAAAGGAAATTGGGAAAGAGAAAGGCGGAAAAAAGGCTACAGGAGTTGGAAGAGAAGGGTATTAGGAAAAAGGTTTAGGCACGAGGGTAAGATCAGAGGAGAAAAGATGGATAACGGACCAGTCTATTACCTGCACTCGTATCCTTAAAGAAGCCAAAGCGTTGGAGGGTCTGCTGACCTTGGATCAGCTTGGTCTTGGATGACTTTTTCTCTGACCGTCTTGTGTCCTTATCCCTGGAAGCCTGTGATGAGGACACTTGAGTATCAACCGACGTCTCTTCCACAGAGTCAAATTTCTTTTCCGTTTCGGTGGTTAGAGCATTACCAGGGCTCCTGGACTCCAATTCTGATGACCCCAACGATGCAACTAACTGGACACCCACTGTTGTCTTATCAGAGCCTGAAACACAATCCAAGATTGTAGAACACTCAATAACAGAAGAGGTCCCATCTGTCACTTTCAAACGCTTCAGGCCTTTGCCTTTCTGCCCTTCAACTTCAGGCTCTTCAATAAAATTTCTCTTTTGCCCTCTCACTGATTGACGCGGCAACACCATCGGAACATTTGGGTCCATATTAGAAATTGGAGTCCTTCCTTTGTTCTTCACTAGTACTCCCTCAATGACATCATCACATCTGTTGAGGCCATTAGCGAGTGTACAATTCGCAAGTCCTCGAAGAGTCTCGGAATCAGAGTCCTTCACAGAGACAACCACTGGTTTCTCTTCTCGGTCATCGTGTTCTGCACTCCCTTCCCCACTACTTTGGAAGGTGACTGCTGAACTTTCAGGGTCATCACACTCCTCAGCCCATGACGTCCCAACCATAGTCTGACTACGGCTGCCCTCTACAAGGTCACTGGATGCACTGCTGAAGTTATTTGTCCGTTGCAGAGTTTCTGAGGTGATCACATAGTCAAACACCTCTGGCTCCATCTCCTGGAAATGCATAAATAGACAAATATTCACATAATAGTTCGCTGTAGACAACTTGCAGCGAAAAAGAATACAAAATGTACGAGGAAAAAAGTTCAATTTCTTGTGACATGTACCACAGAAAGTAAATAAGTTCAGCTCGACATGTAGGCTATGAAAAAAATCCTGAACTTTTCTGACCCATAGAAACTTGTGCACAAGGACTCAAAATTTATTTATCATAATTGTCAAAAGCATCTGTTGTACCAAAACTATCTTTGCATAAAGGGATATAAGTCATTAAAAAAAATCCAGACAATATCAGAAATCCTGATTTCCAGATTTCTTCAGAAAAACCTCTGTTCTAAAATCCCAAGACATGGTCATATATACGAGAACCAGCAGTCGACTACCCCTGAGAACTAGCAATGGGAATGCAAAGAAGACAAGTAATAAGCTATTAATTTCTGATATTATTTTGCTGCTGAAGCTGCTGTCCTTTTAATTCTGTAATCGAGGCTGCCCACCTCAAAGTTCCCACTCCAGGTAAGTTCAGGATCAATATCAGGTATTTTGGCAAAAAATCAGGTAGCACAAAGACAAAAAAAAAAGAAAAAAGACGAACATTACCAAGGTACATTTAGTTGCTATTGCGTGCAGCTTGCTTTTCGTGATATAATGTAATCATTTTAAAATTTCTGTGTGCACATGTGTGTGTGTGTGTGTGTGTGTGTGTGTTTGAAGGTGAACAAGAACTGCAGTTCAAGGCATCTATCAATCAGTATTGAATGTGGATCTGTACACAAGATGAATGCCACACTGATTTCACTTCAAAACCTACAGCCCATACCAATAAAGACAATATTAAAACATATTTTCTTTTTTTTAGTTTTAGTAGAGGTTTTACGGCGCTCGCAACTGCATGAGGTCATATGAGCGCCAGAAGATTAGAGGCGTTACAAGAGAGTAACAAACATAAAATAGAAGGAGAGGAGATAATGATGATAGATGTTTGATAGGAAAGAAGGAGCAAACCACACCAGAGCACCCGCCAACCACCCACAACATATTTTCTGACAATGGCATATCCAAGAGGGCACTGAAAAGTCCTGTGTGGCTCAGGTAGGCTATGACGTACAATTTTAACAAGTTTTCCTTTAACCATTAAAAAAAACACCCAAAAAAAACCCCATGATCTGGAACAACTATCAAAACCATGTTTAGGTAACAGCAAGTTACGGATTTTAAAATACAAGCAAAACAAAACATGTTAAAGAAAAAAAACTTTATAGTTGGGCTCACATATGGCTATTGGTTTGAAAAGAAAAAAAAAAGAAGCTAAATCACAGTACCCAGTTTTAATCACCAGTGTTTACAAACAGTGGCAAGCTATCATGCCTACAAATAAGGCATTCAACATAGGGTGGCTAAGCTGCACAGTACTCTAATCATAGAATTTGGTTTCCAGATCTTATCCTTAAGTGCACCAAATAAAAATGTTTTTCCCTCCCAGCAAGATCCAGGGCAGGGCGTAAACTCCTGATGAAACTGAAATTTAGTGCTTTCCGAAAGTTGATAACGATATTTGTCCATTGCCACTATTCAATTTGTCATCGCACCATTGACAGTAGTATGCAAGTACGGGAACATCAATTTTGACAATACAATCACCAAGCTTGTACTCTTAAATTTTTCCTACATTCATGCACTCGATTGTTGAATGTCACAACTTCAGAGCACCCCTTCCACCTTTTTTCTTTTCTATATCCACAATGTTCTTCATCAACACACAGATTTTCCAGCCCCAGCAAAAACCCCAATATAGACAAGAAGAAGGAGTGAATGAATGGAAGGAGGAACATTAGTTATCGTGACTAGCCAGATTTTTGCAGATTTGCAAGTGAAAATGTATTATTGCCGCCCAACCCATAATGACTGCTTATAGGAACAATGGTTGAGTGTACGATATGAGCAATCCATTGCCAAGACTTACCTTAAACTTAAAGATCTGAGAAGTTATGGGGTAAATACGGATCCTTTACTACGAAATACCAATAAGCCAATACTATGATCTCTCTTTTTTTTTTAAACTGATGGGAGTCGAAATGATGATTAAAACACTGCAAAATGGGCCTTTTTTGTTTGTTTTACTATCAGCACCCATTGCAAATCCAGTAGTTTTGACACCTGTATCGGTATGGCACTAGAACAGGTGCAAAATCAGTAACTACCGGAAAAATTGTTAGACTAAGGCAGCCCTGTGTAATGTAAGAATTGAATACATGATCAAATCATAATATGCGACATTTTGTGGAGGACATTCAATTCAGGACTGAATTGAAATAAAGTAGAACATGACTATAGCGGCACCCGCTATCCCTACAGCGGGACCTTACCGGAATCCCCTTTTTTTTCCCTATGTAAACTCGCCGATGTCTGTCGCAGATCTGGCACTGGACGATGATGAAACTCAATTACTTATGTTTGGATATAGAGGGCCAAGGAAAGTCCCGAACTCGGATACAGCGTGAGAGATTGAGCAAGCTTTAGCTGGGGGGGCTGTATGCGGGCTCCAAAGAGGTAGTGAGTGGTGCGGCGTTGTGATTGGCTAGTCCAATGATGAGTGAGGTGGGGTAGGCGGTAGGCCTAAAGAGAGATGGTGCAAAGAGAGAGAGATGGTGTGGAGAGATGCAATACGTGAACCACTCCAAAAGTGATGTAGATCTATACAGTAGAATATGACTGTAGGGGCACCCGCTGCAGCAGGACTATCCCTACAGCGGGACCTAACAGGAATCTCTATGCAAACTCAATTACCTGTGCTCGGGTTTAACGGGGCAAGGAAAGGCCCGAACTATGATTCAGCGGGAGAGATCGAGAGAGCGCTAGCTGCGGAGAAGGGGGTTGTGGGGTGGGGGGCTGTATGCGGGAACAAACAGCGAGTCAGCGGTGGGGTGTTGTGATTGGCCAGTCCACTGATGAATAAGGTGGAACAGGCGGCAGAGATGATGCGGAGAGACACGTTAAGTGAGCAACTTGAAAATTTAAAGTAAGTGATGTGCTATAGCCTAGACGCTCAGTACCTTATAAGAGAGAGAGAGAAAGAGAAAGATGGTGCAGAGAGACGTGTGCCATAGCCCTTGGCTAGGCCACAAAGTAAATGAAGAGGAGAGCATGTAGTATGTGATTCCTGATTCGTTGAAATGCGGTCGTTGATGCTCAGGCATACACGCGCATCCACTTCACCAGTTCTACTGTAGGCCTACCGGTACGATAGACAGCACAAGCAACAAACCGAGAAAAAGATGGCTTCCAACAAAGACTAAAGGAATTGCTTCTCACTCTAATTAAAGAATTAAAGGCCGAGATAATCAATGAAGGTGACAATAAAAGGAAGACTAATGTAAAGCGCAAATTTTATTGATATGGAAGGGATGTAATCATGTAGATATTTATAAATTTTTCTGCAATTTCACATTTGCATTCCTATAAGCGGGAACTCGTCTACAGCAGGATTTTTTCTTCTGGAACCAAAAGTCCCGCTATAGCCGTGTTCTACTGTAAAAGTGAGCAAACAAACAAAAAAAAGTTACCCTTTCAGTAGAGCGTGCCACAGATACAAGTGACCAAGTAAAATGACAGGAAGACCCACCTTGATAATATAGTCCATGACGTACTCGTGGCTGATGCACAAGAGGCCAACGTCGCAGAGCTGTGGGGCAAGATGATGACTGGAGGGGTCCATGAAAACATAAGTTACGTCCGGCACTGACTTGCTCGCCTTCAATGGCAACTGCATGGGGATGATCTTGGCACCACCAAAGATCATCACTCTGATATGGGAAAGGAAAACATAAGAACAAAAGAGTAAGTTGTCTGAACACGAGATTCTTCTTGCAGCTGCCGACATCACAATTTATCATTCTGACACAAGTCACTTGTAGAAAGGCAGTCATGACACATTATATTATTATGATATTTTAACAGGTCATGAAATTCTGAAATGGGAGGAAAATTGCAAGTACACAATTACCTCATTTTTAAAAACTGTAATTGCTTGTGGAACAAGTTCAGTTTTCTAATTCAAGTTGTTTACTGGTTATTGCCCAGATTCTTTTAACCCTTTCGTTGCCAGGGGGTATGCGTTCCCATTGACAGCACTGAATTTCAGCTGAGCTCTTTTCTCAAGACAGATGTGCGGTCTTAGACCTAGATCTAGATTTAGAGCACTCGTGACACATTTTGGACACTGACATTTCGGACACTGGGTCTTCCATCATCACTTTTCTCACTTTTCTTATTCCCCATTTCCTATTTTACTCATAATTTCAAATAACCTGCAAAGCTACGTCGAAAAGTGAATTTATTTGACTTTTTAAAGTCATTTCGTTGTTTACATTTTACGAGAACATGCGGCCGCCCGCAAGCCGAGACCTATGTTTATCGATCGCTTGCTAGCCTAGAAGAAAAGCAGCACTAGCAAGTTTGGTTCCGATACGCGCACCTTTCATTCCCAAATATACAAATTTATGCGGGGCTTGTGGCTAAAACTCCACACAGAAGAATTCAAGCCAGGTTATTAGCATGACGTACATGTAACTTCATATAGGCAACCAGGAGTGGCAAATTTTGCCAACTTCCATGACATACATGGTATGGCACAGCACTAAAAATTACTCATAAGGCAACGAAGGGGCTAAAATAGAAAAGAATGAAAAATCAATGTTTCAGTCTGTCAGTCCATCCGCTTCATATTCTACAATACAGTAGACTTGCCTACTTTGAAATTTAAAAATCAGTAACAATTAGCATTTTTTCTCGTAACAAATGGTAAAATTCCGTAACATAGTATTGACTCTAAGGAAGACTAAATTTAACTGACTTACTTTTCACGTTTAGAAGCTAAAAAAAGTTACCAGTTTAAAGTCACAATTGCCAATAATTACTTACCTTGTAACTTGTACTTTCACATTTATATTCATTGATAAAATATCCTGTTTAAATATCTAAATCTAGATTTCTACTTAAAAACGATTGAATCGCACAATGCTGTTTAACTTGGTTCACTTCAAATTACTATTGCCGTTGTGACTTGCGATATCTAAGTGCGATAGCCTTAGGGGCTTTAGGGCCTAGATCTATCATTCACGCCACCTTTTGCTTTGTTTTCATTTTCAACATCACCCTTGACCTCTGGCCTTTGACAAGGGCTAGTGAGTCACTTAAAATATCAGACTTTAATGAAAAATGAACCATAGACTATTTGACCGCCTGACATAATCGTGACCAGGTGAACTCCCCATAAACCCAGCAGCATGGTCGCAGGCACCATGCATGTCACTCTGCGAGCCTACTATCTTGCACTCATTAGCAGCATTTACGCAGGATTAAAGACAGTTAACTGTGTTCGAAGTTGTGCTCCCCAGCTACCTGACCATAATTTTTTTTTTTTAATGGGGGAAGTTTTCCATAACATATTTCAGCTTTCCGTAACTCCTTAACCTATGCTATTTTCCCGTAACAATGACGGATTATCCGTAACAGTAGGCAAGTCTGATACAGGATTAGACTCATTCTGTACTAGTATGTTTTCAGTTACAATGATGACTAATTTTAAAGGTAACTGAACTGGCCGTATTGTAGGTCAGATATTCCCTTCACAACTGCAATTCTTAAATTTAGTTTCACTTTGTACTTTGTGTTGTTGCCACTAGATCTAAAAATGTGGGGTCTACAGTCTCTTGACCTAGATCAACATATGATCAAGATGATGAAAGATCTAAATTTTGCTAACTTCCAAAGACAATTGTCTTTCTTACCTATTTAGTGTCTATCTGGGCTCCCTGTCATCTCTTATGCATATCCATTCAGTGTCACTGTTTGAAATATTATATTGCAGGGCACTTTGTGCCTGTTGTATGCTTATATCATATGTGAGTCATCCATGCAGTCTCCTCTACATTAAATATTACTTAAGAATTCATTAAAGCTTCTCTTCAGCTTTTAGTTGATGAAATTTCACAACTCATAGCAGTTTTCATAATAAATTTTTGGACTTGCACTTTTGCAGAGGCTACTACTCATTTTAAAGGTCGTGAAAACTTAAATGAAATTTTAAAAATGCATTCATTTTTTAAATAAATTTTCAGATGTTTCTATGCCCCCATCAACACATTTTAGACCATTTAGGAGGCAGGCTTACCCTACACTGCCAAGGTCAACCCCCGCGGACAGGGACAAAATGTCTCAGCAGGAAGATCAAGATACTCAATAAAAATTCTCCTCACATGAGAATTGAACACTGCTATTTTTTTCATACAACAGCAAACCACCTGACCACTAGTACTACAGATGCCAGTATACAACTCCGAGTACAAAACAATATCAGTTTCATTAGCTTGAATTTTAAAACAAATACAAAACAAAAGGAACGGCAAAGTTCTATACAGCAGGCCATTAGCCTTGTGTCAGGAGGCTGCAGGTCATACATACCTTCTCAACTGCTGAAGGTTCTCTGGGCAAAGTAAGAGTGAAATTTGCCATCCTGAGAATGCGAACTCACTGGACATGCCGACCCTCCAGTGCCAACGGTTGTAGGCAGAGAGGAGTTCTGGAGGCTGATTATCATAGACGCTGAACTGAAAGTCATCCTCCTTCAGCCAATGGCCCACCATGTGACTGTAGTCAATGAATGCAAGGGATAGAACCCAGCACCCTACAGAGAAAAATTGCTTTGAAATGCAAATTGACCTGATTGCTGACAACAGAGAAGAAAAAAAAATCGATACTAAAAGACAGAGAAAACACAAGAGTAGTAGACAAAAATTTTGAAAAATTGGTACAAAAACTTTTTTCCTTAATGACCATGTTCCTCTTACTTTTCTGACCGCCCTCGCAGTTATCAATAATAAAACAAGTCACTTGCTATAGCAAATACATCACATCATATTGGCGAGGTTCATGCACTGTCTGCTGAAAACTTCAAACTACGGAAAAGCTTTCTCTTAGCCTTTGGTGCTCAGCTCATGTTTTAGTAGTTTTAGTAAGAGTTTTACGGCCCTCACAACTGCATATATGGTCATATGAAGGCACGAAAAAAGTTGGTTTTATTCCCACCGGTTCACTGCACAGCTTGATTCTGGTCAACACCTCTACTAAGATGCTGAAAATTCGATGTAAATAAATTTTTAATTTAAAATAACTTTTTAAATAACATTTAAAATGTTACCAAAACTCGACAAATTTTGCACAAATGACTTTCAAAACATGAAGCTCAAGCTATACAGCTATCATACGTTGAAGTGAGGAACAGTGCTATTTTCACATTTTGTTGAGAGAAAGTGTTCTTCCTACACTGAGATCCTTAAGCAAATCAAAATTTAATAAAGACCAATAAGTCCGTTGGACATTAGAAGGACAATCTAGAAGTTTACATATAAACTCAATGGCATGTGGACCTACGCTCCATTACCATTTTATTTCACGAAAAGCTGCTATCAGCATTTCTATTCATATCATAGTAATGTGCGCACTGACTTACCAGAAACGCAAGCTGCAAGGAAGTTTTCAGAGCAAGACAGTTTGCCACAAACAAGGTGAGAGACTTTACGCTGGAAATTCTGCAAAGAACAAAGCAAAATTATAGAAAAATTGAATGCAGGGTAAAATGTTACTGTAGTGCTCCTTTTCAGCTATCCTAAGAATTTTCTCCCTAGATAAGGTCTCTCTTGATCTCATGATAATTGATAATTACAGAGTTCCCACTCATCAAGAAGAGAAAATGTCCTATCTCCCCCCCCCCAGTTTCTGCCCGGATTATGTAACCATTTTCAAAGCGATCTTTCTTTTTTTTTTTTAAAGATGACAGAGCTAGGAAGAAGAAATAAAGAGAAATGCAAAATAATGCGTAACATGGCCATGGACAGTCCCTCCCTGCAGTCTCTTTTCCTGGGGTGCCAGTTTCAAGGACAGGAATTACAGGATAAATAAAGGCGTAATGAAAGTGAAAATGGTCTCAGCAGGCTCGTTGTTGCTGAGTTAGGGAAAAAAAGTGGCATGACCCTCGATAAAACAAAAGAGACCGATGGGACGTGTCACAAACCTTTGATCTTAATTGTACATCACTGCACAACATGCCATGCCCTGCAGCTGATTGTTTTAAGTTTCAAACTTGATCTGCTTATTCTTTTTTTAATTCAATGGCCCAGGCCATCATCCATAACGGCACATAAATTTATTTAAACCTTATCAAACTAAAGTTGGCCCTTCTCCTGGATAATGTTTTTCTAAGGGCAAAGTGGCACTAAGCGACAACAAGGGCCCAGTGCACAGAGGGTGTTAAAGCGACACAGACTGTCGGGGTCTGACTTTCCCTAAATTTACGTCGGGTGGATGGGGGTGTGTTAGGGTAGTCAAACGACAAATAAAATTTTTTTTTAAATTGGAATCAGGGGCAGGGTGTTGTGATCGTATTTCTAAAAGTAAAAATTGAACATTTTAAAAAAAGTTTAAACCTTAAAGATTCCATCAAATTCATAACTATGGGTAGCCCTTTGATTTCCCTGCTTTCTATTGTATATTTTAGTTTTCATTCATTGTCATGGTGTGTTCCCAACCGAGAAATCTGAAAATGAAATTCCTGGCTTTTTCCCCATTTTCCCGGGTGAGTGGGGACCCTGTAATTGTCATCAATTTCTCTCATGGGTAAAGGACAAACAGACTTTCTGTCGCTCTTTTCCTCTTCCCTGTCCTCAGATTCATAACTTGACATCCATTGCTTCGGTCTGACTTCATAAGCCAGAATAATACCAAAACAATCCGAATTTTGTACAAACAATAATCTATGCATGACAAGGAGGAACTTTTTTTTCATTTTCAGTGTCACTAGCCTCTTCGGAGAATCAGTTCTCCATGCTTTATATCAGAGAGTTTACAGTAATACTAGAGAGATGACACTTCGCCCGGATGCGCGTATCTGGGTCACCAGCTGATTGTGGAGAAACATGCGGTAAACAAAACAAACTGCGTCAATTGTTCAAGGGATTTTTGTTGATCGCAGACAAGCATGGCCCCGGTTAGCATGAAATGTCAATGGTGTTCTGCTATAAACTGCACCTATTAAAATCAAAATTTGAGTTTCTTTCGATTTCTAAAGGACGACGAATATATTTTGATGAATAGAAAAATATAGATCAAAATAATGACAATGTGATTGTGGTCCTACCAGACTGACACTCCATACACAAACTCAACACACTTCAACGTTGTTATATCAGCTATACATTAGGGGGGTTTTGTTTCCTGTCTAAATGCCTTAATTAAGCTTGCATTCTACTAGTGAAAGATATGTTACCTGGGGCTGCGAAAAGATGTCTAAATCCAGTTAAGTGCCATCGATCGATTTTGCTACTTTCTTTGTCCAATTACCACTTTTTTTTGGGGGGGGGGGGGGCTTGGAAGGTGTTAGGGATCCTATTAAAGACTTTAAGTGGTAGATCTATCATTATTTAATATAATATATGTGTGTGTGTGTGTGTGTGTGTGTGTGTATGCGAGAGAGAGAGAGAGAGAGAGAGAGAGAGAGAGAGAGAGAGAGATAGATAGAGAGAGGGAGAGAGAGAGAGAGAGAGACCGACAGACAGACAGACAGACAGATAGACAGACAGATAGGTAGACAGACAGACAGACAGACAGAAACAGACAAACAGATTGACAGACTAACATATAGACAGAGCGAGAGTGGGGAGAAAGAGAGACAGAAAGGGAGACAGAGAGAGCAGAGACAGAGAGACAGAAAGGGAGACAGAGAGAGCAGAGACAGACAGACAGACAGACAGACAGAACGAGAGAGGGAAAAACGGAGAGAGAGAGAGTGAGAGTAGGAGAGACAGACAGACAGACAGACAGACATACAGACAGACAGACAGACAGAGAGACAGACAGAGAGACAAATAGAGCGAGAGAAGGGAGAGAAGAAGAGACAGGGAGAGAGAAAGAGAAACAGGCAGACAGACAAAACAGACAGACAGACAGACAAACACACTGATAGACAGAGCGAGAGGGGTTAAAAAGAAAAATAGAGAGAGAGAGAGAGAGAGAGAGAGAGAGAGAGAGAGAGAGAGAGAGAGAGAGAGAGAGACAGAGACAGACAGAGAGACAGAGACAGACAGAGAGAAACAGAGACAGAGAAACAGATTGACAGACAGACATATAGACAGAGCGAGAGTGGGGAGAAAGAGAGACAGAGAAAGGGAGACAGAGAGAGATAGAGAGAGAGAGAGAGAGACAGACAGACAGACAGACAGACAGACAGACAGACAGACAGACAGACAGACAGACAGACAGACAGACAGACAGACAGACAGACAGACAGACGGACAGGTAGACGGACAGGTAGACAGAGGGAGAGAGGGGGAGAAAGAGAGCCAGGGAGAGAGAGAAAGAGACAGGGAGAGAAAAAAAAGACAGACAGACAGACACACCGACAGAGAGGGAGAGAGAGATGACAGAGTGACACTGGAGAACGAGTAGATTTGCTGAAAATTAAACTGATTATTCCTTTAATTACGGTGATATTATTTTTTCAGATCTATAGAGATGAAGTAATGTATCTGCGTCTATTTGTTTATTAGAATTATGTATGTTAACTTAAGCCAAACACAAGTCTTACAGTTTAAGGCCGAGGGAGGCAGGGGGTTGCCTTAAATATGCGATAGAAATCACAGACCTCCTTCTTTGTTAAAGGCCTAGTAACCTAGTTAACTAACTACAAACGGTACTACAGAGCACCGTCACGAGTGTCACCTCTCTATTACTGTAAACCCTCTCTGTTTATATATTGACAAAATTCCACATTTTGTCAAGATGCGGACAAAATTCGGTGTAGCATCAAAAATAAATCAATAAAATGTCATTTGTAGCAGACAAAATATTACAAGGAGAAAGGTTTTTTAATGAAGTGCACAGTATCATATGTAAAAACAGGTTTATAAGAAATTGAAAGAACACCAAACTATCCGTCAACACAGACTTGCATAGAAAAAAAGAAATATATTATCTGACATACAAAAAAAAGTACTCAGCTTTTTGTGGTAAATAAAATCATTTAACACCAAAAGTTGGCACTATATGCAGTAACTTCCCTCCTGCAATCATTGAGCAGTGCTTCCGACAGATAAAGCAAAGAAGTAATGAAAATTCTCTGCTGCAGGTCTGGGGGTCTGCACTTCCACTTTCACTTATTATTGATTTCAACTTCAATTTTTTCCCCACCGCAGCCTTATCCTGCTCCGCAGAATCTTTACGCTGACAATTTTTTTAAATATAGACATATTAGTAATAGTTTCTTTTCAATACGTTTTCTTTGTAAAATCACAATTCAATTTTCTCAATCAACGCATAGAGATTTTCCAGCCATTGTAAAGATCCGAAGACAGACATAAAAAATGAGTGAATGAACTGAATGAAAGAAAGAAGACAAGAGGCAGAACACTTTCACTATCCCGACTAGCCAGATTTTGACCTATTTGTAAGTGAAAATGTATTGCCAACGGACTCGCAAAGGATTTGTAGAGAGGAACAACGACCAAGTGCACAATCTGGCAAATTTCTACAACTTACGGCCAAGAGTACTATTACCAGACTCAACCAAAAAGATAGAGACATGTACGCATCCTTTGCATATATATATATACAGTCGATCCTGCCTTCACGGAAACCTGTGTAAAACGGAAACCTGTCTTAACGGAATATCCCCGCTCCCCCCTTGATATATTCCTCTTTAATTACTTACCTGTATAAAACAGAAACCTGTCCAACGCAGAAACGGAAAGAAAAATCTGCTCCCTTCCGAGGGTTTCACCTGTGTAAGACGGAAAATGCTGAGCCCGCTCAACCCTGATTTGAAACAAAACTCGCAAGTTTGGTTTCGACGGCTTTAAAATTAACGCTATGGCCATGTTGCTGGCCGAGGAAGGGGAGTAGGGGTGCAATTTGGGGGTAGATGTTACCCCATCATGTGAGCCCTGAGTGATGCAGATGGTCAGTATAGTGTGGGTGTGAAATCTCACGACTGCCCGTGAGAGTGCTCGAGTCGCGAACCACTACGGAAACTTTCTTAGCTAGCCAGAAGCCAGTGGTGTGAAATTAGATTGACCAATGCCAGCCGAGAAAAGATTTCCTCGAATCGTTGTTACATGATGGCAGTGAGGGGTGGTATTGGTGGGTGGGGCTAAGGGTGGAAGCAAAGGAGATGTTCAAACATTCCTGTTTAAATAGGTCAAACAGTGGTTGTATGAAAGGCAAGCACTGGTGGTAATTGGATCAGTAAGACTAAGACTGACGCAGGTCATTATCAGAGAGGATAGCAGCTGAGAGGAGTGAAGTTTTGACCACTGCTGGCCGATCGGACAAGCGATCCTTGAACCCACCGGCTGGGCCTTTGAACCCCCCCCCTCCCCCAACCTCCATCTCCCCTAAATTCCCCTGTCTAAGACGGAATCTTTTTCTGGCTCCCTTGCGGAAATATATATATATATATATATATCATATATATATATAGCAAACACCATCTTAATTATTTTTTAGGACTGGGTTTGATATAACGTATGAAACTTTCCAAAACTATGGATTTGCATAGAAATGCAGCATATTGGAATGGAACCACTGATTGACTTTGAGGCTTGACTTTGAATGCTATAAATCCTGATACATTACATGTATAAACTATTATTTATAACATCCCCAACCCACCTTTAAAAGACATGAAAAAACTCATACCTGTGAATTGACATATACGCCTTTGAGCTCTTTAATCTTTTTAGCGTAGTTCTTGCACTCGTCTGGTGACAGGTTGTGCAGCTGGATCACTGGGCATCCTGGCATCATGTGGCTTTTGCCCGACCGTCCACGCAGGTGGTGAAGGTCCACTGAGTTGAAAGAGTAAGATCAATGATTATAAGTTGCTCTGCAACATTCACTTTCACTATATTGATGAAAAGTGCATATATATGGACGATCAGTATAGCTTTTTAAAAAAGTAAAAGACTTCGAAACATTGAAAGAAGGATTTGACAGATTATTTCAGTTCTACTATATATATATCTCTATATAAAAAATTAGCAACATCCTGTTCTTGTAAATATGAGAAATGACTTCTTAAAAATGCTGCATTAGTAGTTACAAGAATGTGTACAGCAGAACCTGTCCAAGAAGGAATCACAAGAAAGCCAGTAAAAAAAAAATTGTCTTCTCAATATTTTCCCATCTTTGATTGAGGAATTTAGGGGGGAGGGTATCCATAAGGCTAGCCATACACAGTAGGATGAAGGGTCTCCTGTCAAGTTGGCAAGCAATGGCCTTGAATAGTCATCTTCCCTGGGGTGTCAAGGACATGGGTTATACGAAATTTTTAAAAAGGGAGGGAGAGGGAAAAAGCCTAAAAACTTTAGAACTGCATACAGAATACACATCATCCACTGTAGAAAATTGTTTCAAACGATCTATTTTTTGGCCTAGGCTGTCCCCCACAACACAAAAGGGTGGGAATTTTCTAATACCATGTCAATCTAACTGTGTATTTTTTTTCTCTAAGAGCAAACTGACACTGAGTGACTACCAGGGCTCAATAAAAAGATGCTTCATTTTAGGTTAAATCAGCTGCACATGCCGTAGTGACGTAGACTGTCCAGGTCTGGTCGTTTATCTTCCCTTTAACACTGGGAAGGTAGGCAGTGCCAGTGAGGTTTTTTTTTAAAAGACAGTCAGTTATGGTACAACAACTGAAATTTTAAAAAATCGGAATCAGGGGTAATACGATCAATTTTTCACAAAACTGGAAAAAAATCGAAGATTCCATCAAATTTGTAATGATGGACAGCCCTGTCAGAACAATGAGAATGGTGCGGCGGTAGATAGGCGACTAAACCAGAACCAGCCAGTGCATGTAAAATAAGACCTTAAATTTCTTTTTATGTTACACAGCCATCCATATGGTTCAGGCTAACATTTTTTGTTCATTTACGGACTCATTTTCATGAAATAAAAAAAGCATTAAATTTTTTATTGTTGAAGGCCTATTTCAGTACTTGTAGCTTTGGAACATGGGCTATTGACTAGTTACTGACATTTTGATGATTAAGTAAGGTTTTATACTACTATTGATTTTTAATCTGTAGAATCTATCATGATGTCCTGTCCATCTTTAAATTTGATAGAGTAGTATATTTTAAAAAGACATGACGTCATATCGGTGCTATGTGTGTCATGGCACGGTGGAATCAGGCGCTTGTCAAGTTTTGGGCGTAGGCCTATGGATGAGTCATCTTTAACAGGGCTCCCTAATACGCACAATTGTGCGTATATTACGCATTAAACCTGCAGATTATCCCCTTTAACTCATTCGCTACGCCGAGCCGAGGGGGGCGGCGCGGCTAAAGTGCCGTCAGTACGCTAAGCCGCCCCCGGCGGCTCGAGAACCGACGTTCAATTTTAGCTTGTTTTCTATTCCAATCCACATATCCATGTTAAAATAAAGGTCATAATATAAAGTTGACTTCTGGGTCAAGCGTTACCACCGAAAATCGGAAGTTTTGATTCAGTTTTGAAACACGGTTTCGAAGTTTATACGACATTGTTTTATCGCGAAGCCCAAATTAAAGCCCAGACACCAGTCTTAGTACTTTTACACAACAAAATGTATCATTAATTTGCTCACTAAAGAAGTGAAGGACTCTTCTTTATAATATTGATACTACTGGACTCAAATTGCCAGTGCACTGTAATTGAGAAATCAATAGTTTTGAGTGCTAGATCTAGGCCAAGATCTAAATAGTCAAAATATTTTTTTTCTCCTCAAAATCACTACTTTTTGGTCAATTTACTCAAAAAGTACCACCCAAGACATGTATAGGTTTATTCCAAATGCAATTCTGAATAATTCCATATAAGATACGAGTGTTTTTTTCTGTTTGGGATCCTTTTTCCAAAATTATTTTTAAAAAATTTTTTTTTTTCAATATGATCCAAATGTACAAATATTATGGAATGCATGTAAATAACTGCTCATTTTTCAATAGTTTCCTGTTCTGTATACAGTTATGGTTATTTTGATGTATAATTTGACTAGGTGCAAACATATTTTTTGAGTTTCATCTGAGATTATAAATGTTTTCTTTTCTAATTTTATGGGCAGCCAATCACAATTGTGTTGCATAATCGCCTCTTACAGGAACCAAAGTTGAAAAATACTCAAATAAACAATACAGATGTGTTCTACAAAGCCTACTGAAAACGTTGGTATATAATATGTTGATATTTATTTGAATTTATGACCCCCAAGACCTGTGAACTTCGCACTAGTCATCATCTCATTTCGCCTTCCCGAAAAAAAAAATCGTCCACAAGCCGAAAATAATACGTAGCGAATGAGTCAAGTTTTAGTGGTGCGTGAGCTTTACCCTTTATAATTTCATTTCAGGGCTTTGCAAGTACGTTTTAAAACGTAGATGGTGTGCGTCGGGCAAGCATCATTTTCCCCCTTATTTGCAACACACCCACACAAATGCACGACAGTCACCTTCTGTGTCAGAAAAAGTCGACCTACTTATCAGCTGTTGCACAGTTTCCGGGGGGGGCTCTCGTGGCCTAGAGGTTAAGGTGTTGGCCTCTCATTAAAAAGGTCCCGGGTTCGATTCCGGGTAGCGACCAAAAAATTTTCTTCTCTAAAATTGTTTCCTTTCACATCCTTTCCTGATCTCTAACAATGTTCTGTTGTCTGCTTTCATTTCCACTTTCTGCCCCCACCCCCTCACTTCCTTTGCCTCCTCCTCTGGGCTCCTGACTCTTTCTGCAGCCTTTCTACTGCTACTCCTTGGCTCCTCCTAACTGCTGTCTTTCTGCCACACCCCTGATCTTCTGGTAGGAAAGGTCTACACCTAGCCTTCTCGGACAAGGGCGAAAAACCTCGGAGGGCCCGTGTGCAAGTTGCGCACGTTAAAGATCCCTTGGTGGTCTAAAATCGATAAGAGTAGGCTTCGGCCGCCACCCGGGCAAAATTCAAAATTTCCTACCAACGAAAAAGTATTAGGTGTGTCCCGCGCGCTCATATGACCTTATGCAGTTGCGAGCGCCGTAAAACACTATACTAAACAAATAAACAAACAAACAGTTTCCGGCAACACCTGCCGGCTTCAGCACAGAAGCTCCGCCCACTTTCTGGTCGCTCATTAAAAAATTTGCCGGTGTCTTGCCTTGAGTTTACCCCTGCCGTGAGATTTCCCCCATCCTTCTTTAACACACTAGTCTAGTAAACATGAATTGTTCGCCATCGAAAGTGTGGAAAGACTGGAATGTGAACCCTGGGATGGCTCTGGAGAATAATGAATCAGCTTATTTTCCGAAGCTGCTACTCATCCCTGCCCTAAATCTCAAGCATCCCGATTTTCCCCGATTTTGATAGCGTGTATTCCTTTTTTTTTTCCCCCGCCTGTTGCGCCGGATTTTTCAAAAATCTTACTCTGCCTTCTTTTCTGTTACGGGAAGCACTCGTTAAACTTTTTGTCAGCAGAAACTCAGAGTACAATTTTCCCAAATGTCTAAGTAGAATTTAGTAGTTGACTCACCAAAAGTTGTGTTGGACCTTTGCTCACACGTGTTATTTCAATTATAATGGAAGTAGTATTGATTGGGTATTCCGACTTAAGACATTCTCAAGATCTACTTTCGCCAAAACATGCTTGGTCCGAATTCTGGTTAGTCGGGCCCGTCATCAAGACCCTTCAGTAAAACTGCTTCAATCGTGCTTTTGCACCACGTGACAGAACTAAAGGTGACAATCCATATGTGCAGCGGAACGATAAAAATCGCTCCAACAGAAATATCAATGTCTGAATCCATAAGTACGGGACGGCAGCGGTACGATCAAAATCGCACCCAGGAGCGATTCTGCCGCTGCCGCAGCTCTGCCGCAGACAAAAATATGAATGTGGTGGAATAGGGTTGACTGTGAAGAATCTCTGTGTGATGCAGTCAATTCATTTGACTCGGAAAACTTGCTGAAACCATTGCACCCCTATGTCGTCGTTCATCCACCCATTTTCTTGATATGCCCAAATGGTGCCTTCTGGGCTGTCCTGAATGGCAAAGCAAAGGAATGGATGGACCTGTTCGTTATGCTAGTGACAAAAGATCAAGATAATTGCAACTTTACAAATCATCAGCAGTATTCGTTCTTGTTTCATTCACCTAGACCGTTTTGACTGGGTAGGTGCCATGCTGTTCAAAACAAAAAAAGGCGCCAACATGCCTTCCCCTACTGAATTTGCCACTTGCGATATCGCACATTTCGTACCGCTGCCGCACATATGGATTTAATGTGACTTGCGGTACCGCACATATCGTCCCGCTGCCGCTGCCGCTGCCGTCCCGCACATGGATTGCTACCTTTAGTGCGTGTGAGTTCCGTGTGTGTCGGGGATCGTCCGTTGACGGGGTCAATTTAAGTTCATGCGCACTGGCTGAAGCATCTTTCGGGACTTGTCTGGGGGGAGGGGGGGGGCAAGTAAAACACTTGGACTAGGAGAGCTTGACGTGATACAGTAGTCTCCGCCTTAGATCCCGGTGCTCGGGAGCAAGGAAATGCGGGATCTTAGGCGAACCGGGATCTTAACCGATGAACCCAGGGAAGAATCTATGGTGACCCATGTTAAGGCTCACAATCGGTAAAATGGTCTCTCTGGGTTTATGACGTATGGTGAACAAAGAGTGGTTAACCTTGATGACCTATCACGGTGCATAGTGGGATGTGGCGTGCCATTTTCACTTATTATCCTATCATGAGTCTCAAGATCTACGCTTATACAGTTGCCCCTCCTCTTTACCTGTCAAAAGTTTATAGTTTTCCATCTCTGACCGAGTCCCCCTCCCCCCC